CCTCCTCCGCCCCCCCCCCCTCCCCCTCTGTTGCACTGTTGCACTAAGGAGTCCCAAGCCCACTCTAGGAGCAGGAAAAAGCAAAAATATGGAGTGGGAAAACTAAGCAAGCACCATGGAGAAGAAGGAAGGCCGAGAGGAGGGAGGAAGAGAGGGAAGAAGGAGAACGGTGCTTCCGAAGTCCCAGGGCTGGCGCGCGGCTAGGAGCAGGAAAGGACCATGGAGAAGAAGGAAGGCCGAGAGGAGGGAGGGAGAGAGGGAAGGAGGAGAATGGTGCTTCCGAAGTCCCCCTGGAGGGCTGGCCCGCGGCTCCCTCGCCATGGGTCTGCCCGAGCGCGGGCTGGCACCTCCCCAGCCACGCTGTCCGTGGGGTGACGTCGCAAACCTCCACCTGCCCTTCCCTCCCTTCCCTCCCCTCGAGAACTGGGCAGGCTGTGGAAAACAGGCCTGTTCTGGCATTCTGCTTCTGGGGAGGAGAAGGGGGATGAGGCCCAGAGCCCGCTCAACTTGGGACGCCCCGAGGACGCCTCGGGCAGGGCAGATATGTAGGATGCTGCGCGAAGGCGACAACATCGTCGCAACAAGTGCCCCCCCCCTTTTTCCCGCCCCCTTCAACCCACTCCAAGAGCCTACCCGCGCGGCCAGCAGGATGGAGGACGACGGGCGGGGGAGAACACTCAGAGAGCAGGAAGGTCACGCGCGAGGCCGTCTGACCTCTACCTGGCGAGCGAAGCCTCCCTGATCCCATCTCCCATGATTCCCCCTCCCCCCATTCCTCCAACGAGAGATCTGCACGTGCAGTCTGCTCAGAGATGGATGAAAGGGCAATGGGTGTGGAGCTATAGCAGGAACGGGGCCTGCTATACACTCTTGCTGCTGCAGTCCACACATAGATGAGGCCGGTCTCTGTGCAGCCTCCTTTGCTGCTTGATTCCGATTCCACACAAAGGGCAGTAGCTCGTGACGGTGGGCAATCGAGCCATCGGAATCGGCTTGGCGAAAATACAATGGAGACTGCGGAGGCCTACATCTGGGACGTCCAGCACGAGCGAGCATGAATCAGTTGGCGCAGAAGTGTCCTTCGCCTCCTCGCCAGAGGCCCAACTGTCAATGCCCCAATCCGAAGCCTTCTCGGTGCTCTTGCCCGCGCTGCCGTCGTCGTAGCAGTCAAGGGCCCCCTCCGCGTCGCAGTCAGTGTGGCTGACCTCGAAGGTGTTGACCTCAGAGCTGCTGTCGGCGCGGCAGTCGAAGAGCTTGGCCTCGTCGGCAATGTGACCGCCCTGATGGGCGTCGTCGTCTAGGAGAGGCCAGAGGGCGGCCGGCCTCACCGCTCCAGGACCTGAGGCAGGTGTCACACCAGGCCTGTCCGTCGTCTCGCTGGCCGGCGGTGAGCCACACTCTCTTGGCAGGTCCGCCGCAGCTGCACTGGTGGGGGATCCTGTCTGCCACGCCTCGCCGTCGCGCAGAGCCGGGTAGCCCGTTGGCCAGAAGCCGGAGGACGTGGTGTGCCTCGGTAAAGGATGCACAGTGTCCCAGGAGAGACCATTCCGCGCCATCTGTCTGCGCCCACCTGCGCTCGTCGCTGGTTGCGGTGAACCATTTGTTGACGATGTGTCCATGTAGCTGCGACCAGGCCGCGACATAGACCACCCGGCCGAAATAGCGAGCCCGCAATCGAGGAGGCTCTCTCACCGCTCGATTGAATAAGTCGGCTGCCCTGGAGTCGGTCAGAACCTTGGAGCCGGGTCTGAGGGGCCCGGGCGGAAATTCCCGTGCCGATTTCGCGAGTTTGTTCCACCTTCTTCCGGCCTTCTGTCGCGACTGGGGCGGGCCCCACAGGTCGTCCAGGACGTGGGCTCTGGCTGCAATCGCACGCGAGGTGGCGACAGGGCACTTGGGGCAGCCAGGGACCTGGAACCGGATACCCAGGCCAGTGAGAATATTGTCGGGAATCCAAGAGGCAGAGGCCAGGCCGAGAGCGCCTCTAAGGTGGGCACGAAGCGTCCTTTCATGAACGGTGTCGGGGAGAGAGTAGCGCGAGGGGTAGGGGATGAGCGCAATCAGATAAGTATTCCAGGCAAGGGCGGTTTTGTCAAGCGACATGTTGGCCAGGTGCAGGGCCATGGCTCTGTCCCGGAGTTTGGGGAGCGGTTTGCCCCAAGTGCCCGCGACGAGAGCATCGAGCTGTCCTCGGGCCACGGTGCCCCTGGGCGGTGAGGTCTCTCCTTCCGCAGCCCGAGATACGACGCAGGCGCCGAGGTAGGGCCACTGTGGCCGCACAGCGGACGAGCCGAAGGGGGTGTAGTCCATGGCACGTCTCCACCACTCGTGGTTGCTGGATGGAACCAGGGCCGTTTTGAAGTTGCACCTGCAGGGGCAGCCCCATGGAGTACACAACGCGGCGCTGCCCGGCCCTCCGACCCGTCTGATCATGTCCAGTATAAGTGCCTCCGGAAGGCCAGTGACCGTCGTCGCGGTGCCATTGTCAGTGAAGTCCACG